TGCTGGCGGTCTCGGAGGTCATCCTGGGGCGGATGTCCTGATCTGCCAGTTCGTGAGCCTTCGTTTGGGCCCCTTTTGGGCCCCTCTTGGGACCCCCGTGTGCCGTCTTGGTGGCCTCCTCTTGGGGGCCGTCGTGATGCCCTCTTTTGCTGTTTACCTTACCTCTTCAGTCCTTCGCCACTTTCAGCGCGTGCCCCTCGCGTCCTCCAGGGAGGAGCGCCAGGGATAGAGGAGGCGCAGAAGCAGACAAGCGCATGTAGATCACTCATCGGCATCGAAGGTGAAACAATGGGAGACGCCCTCCTCAGGAAAGTCAGCACAGCCGAGGCCCCGGCTTGCTCTTCCAGGGGAGGAGGAGGAGGAGGAGGGAGTGGAATGAGTAGGAGGAGGCGTAGGAGGAGGGATGATGAATGTGATGCTGCTGATGAGGATGATGATGATGAAGCTGATGATGGTGGTGGTGACAATGATGATAACGGTGACGATGACAATGACGATGAAGATGATGACGGTGATGACGACGATGATGATGATGCGGCTGATGACGATTATGATGCTAATGGTGATGATGATGCTGCTGATGATGATGTTGATAGTGTAGTTGGTGCTGATGATGCTGATGATGCTGATCGTGATTCTGATCATGCTGCTAATGCTGATGATGATGCTGACGATGCTGATGATGCTGCCGCTCATGATGATGATGAAGATGATGATGATGATGATGGTGATGACAATGATGGTGATGCTGATGAGGATTATTAGTATTATTATTGAAACTTTTGTTTTTAATTGTTATTTTTGTTATTCGTAGGATCATGATCATGATGATGGTCATGCTGCTGCTGATGACGATGACGATGCTGATGATGGTGTGAATGAAGGATGAGTTGGAGGATGAGAATGCGGATTGTGATGGTGATGCTGACGATGATGAGGATTATGATGCTGATGCTGATGCTGATGCTGATGCTGATGCTGCTGCTGCTGCTGATGATGATGATGGTGATGATGATGATGATGATGATGATGATGATGATGATGATGATAAGTAGGATGATGCTGACGACGATGCTGATTATGAGTAGTATTATTATGATGATGGCACTGATGATTCTGATCAGGATGCTGCTAATGATGATAATGCTGCTGATGCTGATGATGATGACGCCGACGATGCTGGTGAAGCTGATACTGACGCTGATGATGATGATGATGATGATGATGCTGCTGATGCTGCTGCTGGTGATGCTGATTCTGATCATGATTCGGATGCTGCTGCTGCTGCTGATGATGATGATGATGATGATGATGATGATGATGATGATGATGATGATGATTAGGATGAGGATATTGATGAGGATGATGATGATGATTCTGATGAGGATTATGATGCTGATGATGCTGATGATGGCGATGCCGATGAGGACGTGGATGACGGATGGGGATGATGAGGATGAGGGTGATGATGAGGAGGAGTAGGAGGAGTAGGATGAGTTGGAGGCGTAGGAGGAGGGGGATGAAGATTTTGATGCTCATCATAGTGGCGACGATGATGATGCTGCTGATGATGATGAGGATGAGGATGATGATGATGATGATGATGATGATGATGATGATGATGATGATCATGATGGTAATGCTTATGCGTATGCTGATGCTGAGGCGGCTGCTGCTGATGATGATGGCGACGAAGATCATGAGTGTGCTGATTGTGCTGATGATGATGATGATGATGCTGGTGGTGGTGATGATGATGATGATGCTGATGATGGTGCTGCTACTGGTGATGCTCATGATGATGGTGATGATGATGCTTACGATTATGCAGATGCTGATGATCATGATGCTAATGATGCTGCTGCTCATGCTTATGATGCTGACGATGCTGCTGATGATGATGATGACGATGCTGATGATGACGATGATGCTGATGCTGATGATGATGCTGATGAAGATGTTGCGGAAGCTGATTCTGACATCCATTGTGTTGATGATGCTGATGTGGATGACGCTGCTGATGATGATGCCGATGACGACGAGGACGTGGATGCAGGACGATGATGATGATGATGAGGCTGATGTTGATGGTGATGCTGATGATGATGAGGAGACGGAGGATGAGTTGAAGAATGAGGGATCGCAGGGATGAGGATGGTGATGATGCTGATGCCGAGGATGATGATGCTTATGCTGATGCTGATGATGATGATGATGATGTTGTTGTTGTTGATGTTGTTGTTGAAGGCGATGCTGATGATTATGCTGACGATGATGACGCCGATGCTGGTGTTGAGGATCATGATGCTGATGGTGATGATGACGATGATGGTGGTCGTGGTAACGATGATGCTGATGCTGATGATGGTGATGATGATGACGATGCTGATTCTGATTATGAGCATGCTGATTAGGATGCTGATGATGAGGACGATGCTGATGATGACGACGATGATGCTGATTGTGCTGATCATGCTGATGATGCTGGTGATGATGATGCTGCTGATGCTGATGACGATGTTGATGATGATGCTGATGATGATGCTGATGCTGATGCTGATAATGACGATGATGATAAGGATGAATGCTGATGATGGTCATGGGGCCGATGACGATGCTGCTGATGCGGCTGAGGATGATGATGATGCTGATAATGATGATGATACTAATGATGATCAGGATGCTGCCAGTCCGCCAAATGCCATCCGAGCTGGCAGCTGCCTCGTGCGAAGGCCGCGAGGAGGGGGCGGAGGGAGGAGGAGGAGGAGAAGGAGGAGGAGGAGACGGAGAAGTTGGATGAGAAGGAAGAGGGATGATGATGATGCTTATGCGGATGATGATGGCGATGATTATGATGCTGCTGCTGATGATGATGCTGACGATAATGTTGATGACGATGGTAATGATGATGCTGATGATGATGATGCTGGTGCTGCTGATGGTGGCGATGATGGTGGTGCCAGTGCTGCTGATGATGATGCTGATGATTCTGATGATGCTTGTGAAGAGGAGGATGATTATGATGATGATGATGATGATGATTCTGATTATGATGATGATGATGATGTTGCTGTTGATGTTGGTGATTCTTATGATGATGATCATGCTGTTGCTGCTGCTGTTGCTGCTGCTGCTGATGATGATGATGATGATTCTGGCAACGCTGATGATTGTGATGATGCGAATGCTGATGCTGCTGATGATGATGATGCTGATGATGATGATGCTGCTGATGGTGCTGAGGATTCGGATAATCATGGTGAGGCTGACGATGATGCTGATGCTGGTGATGCTGGTGATGATGTTGATGCTGATGATGACGATCATGATGTTTCTGCTGCTGATGATCATGATGATGATTCTGATCATGCTGATGATGATGCTGTTTCTGATGATGATGCTGCTGCTGATGATGCTGATGACGCTGATTCGGATGATGCTGATGATGATGCTGAAGGATGTGTGTGAAGGATTCGGATGATGCTGATGATGCTGATGCTGATGCTGATGACGATGATGCTGATGATGCGGAGGTGGAGGAGGATGACACAGAGGAGAACAATGAGTTGGAAGCTGAGGAACAGGAGGATGCTGACGATGCTGATGATGATGCTGATGATGCTGCTGATGATGATGCTGATGCAGATGATGATCGTGATGATACTGATGGTGACGATGATGCTTATGATGATGCTGCTGATGATCATGATGATAATGATGGTTATGGTGATGATGCTGAGGCTGATTATCATGCTTGTGATCATGCTAATGATGATGACGATGCTGATGCTGATGTTGTCGATGCCGATAATGCTGACCGTGCTGCCAATGATAATGCTTATGGTGGTTCTGATGATGCTGCTGATGCTGCTGATGCTGATGACGATGACGATGACGATGTGGATAATGTTGATGACGATGGTGATGGTGATGGTGATGATGATGATGATGATCATGATGATGGTGATGATGATTCTGATGATGAGGATGATGGTGAGGATAATGATGATTATGAGTTGGAGGAGGAGGGAGAGGAGGGATGATGCTGATGGTGATGATGCTGATCATGATGATGCTGATGCTGATGATGATACTGATGATGATACTGCTTATGATGGTGATGTTGATGCTTATAATGCTGCTGATGATGATGATGATGATGTTTTTGTCGAGCTGATGACGCTCATGATGATAATTATGATGCTGATGATGCTGATGATGCTGCTGATAATGCTGCTAATGATGCTCATGATGATGATACTGATGATGATGATGATGATGATGATGATCATGAGGAGGATTATGAGGGTGAGGAGGATGCTGCTGATGATGAATATTATGGTGGTTGTGTGTTGATGATGATGACTGTCATGGTGCTGGTGATGATGCTGATGCGGTTGATGATGATGATGATGTTGATGATGCTGCTGATGCTGATGCTGCTGATGATGATGCTAATGGTGATGATGATGATGATGATGATGATGATGATGATGATGATGACTATGATGATGTGACTGAATCATGAATGATGAAGGATCAATTGTGAAGGATGATGATGATTATGATGATGATTGTGATGGTGATGATGCTGCTGCTGATGCTGATGCTGATGATGATCTGGTGATGATTATGATGATGATCAGGAGGAGGATGATGAGGATGATGATGATGATGATGATGATGATGAGGAGGAGGAGGAGGAGGAGGAGGAGGAGGAGGAGGAGGAAAAAAGAGGAGGAGGAGCAGGAGGAGGAAGAGGAGGAGGAAGAGGAGGAGGAGGAGGAGGAGGGGAGGAGGAGGAGGAGGAGGAGGAGATACAGGAGGTGGCGGATCCAGGGGGAGCTGGAGGAGGTCCGAGGGGGAGGTGGAGGAAGTCCGAGGGGGAGCTGGAGGAGGATCGATGGGGGAGCTGGAGGAGGTCCGAGGGGGGGGACCCAGGAAGGGGCCCGCGGCGCCGCGCGCGGGCACGGGGCGCCTGCCGGGGGCGCCGCGCACAGGCGTCCACCCCGCGCGGGGACGGCGGCGGCCTGCACGGCGCGGAGCCGGGCGGCGTGCGGTTCGGCGAGGACGCCCTGCGGCGCCCCTCCTCGGCGGCGACACCCGAGCCCTACAGTCGGGGCCCTGAAGAAGGAACCCTTTTCGTTGGGGAGGGGCTCGGTGTTCCTTAGTTGTTTTGCAGCTTGCCTCGGGTTTTCCTTGTGTTTTCGATGGGGAACCGAAGTTTAACTTATGGAAAATAGGGGCCTCGTTCCTTATTTAGGGTTCCTTAGGTCAACGCCCCGACGGTACCATCGCAGATCAACGATTCGGGCGAGGGGCGGCGGGGGCAGGGTTGGGAATGCGTCGGGGACGCTGCGAAGTCCGAACCGTCTCCAAACGGATCAGGAGGGTCGACGGTCGGTGGGGGTGGGGTTCGGATGTCGCCGCCTAACTCCAGCGTGGGGGAGGGGGGAGTTCCGATAGCAACTCGTGGGAGTCTTGTCTGTCCTCGAAGTTCCGCCTTTGGAGTGCATTGGCGTGTGCTAGCGTATGGTAGTCGATTAGACAGCGCCGACTTAGCGTCGATTAGCGTCGATCAGCATCGACGTGCGTCGACTTAGCTTCGATCAGCGTCGATTCGCAAGAGCCAGCAAATTGGTATAGGAGGCACCCATAAGTTGCCGCAGAGGGGGGACGGGGAAAGGGGTGGAGTCTCGGCTTCGTGGCTTTCGAGGTTTTCGGAGTTTTTCTTGTCGGTTCTCTCGGCGTTTTTTCCCAGCCCCTAGGGGGCTCTCCAGCAGCTGCGCCTCGCCGAGAGCGTGCCCCAGGGGTGCCCAGGCTGTCCCGAGCGGCCGCCGGAGGCCCGAGATGTGACATGTGTGGTTCGAAAGCCATCAGGCGACGCGGATCGGAGCCCTGGCGCGACACGCTATCCATGTCGCGGCCCCTGAGCGCCTGTGCCCCGAACTTTTCCCAGCCTCCCGCCCCGCGGAGCTTGGCGCAACGGCACCCGCATGCAAGGCACGGCGTGCCGCAGGGGCCGCCGCCGCCGCGTCACGCGAAGCAACCGTTCTGGACCGTATGCGCTTATACATATATATAGACATATGTAACTTTATGTCTCTCTGTTTGTCTGTCTGTCTGTATGTCTGTCTGTATGCATGTATGTTGGTATGTTTGCATACGTATGTGATGTAATGCAGTGTAGTGTAGTGCAGTGTGTGTATGTATGTATATGTATGTATGTGTATGTATGTAGGTCGGTTGGTAGGTATGTATGTGTGCATACGTACGTGTGTAGGTATGTCGGTAGGTATGCATGTAGGTAGATATGTAGGAAGGTTTGTATGTATGTGTATGTATGTATGCGTGTATGTATCTGCATGAGTGTACGTAATATGTACGCATGTAGATTGGTATGTACGTATGTATGTATGCAGGTATGTATTTGTATATGTATATGTATATGTATATGTGTATGTGTATGTATAGGTGGATGTAAACATGTAGATATGTGGACTTGTATTAGCATATATTTATATAGATATAAATGTATATGTATGTGTATGTATATTTGCGTATATGTATGTGCATGCGTTTGTATGTGTTTGTACATACATATATGTGCGTATTTGTATATGTGTATGCATGTGCATGTGTAACTGTTTATGCATATGTATATGTATATATATATATATACGCAAAGGTATACGTAGATATTCATATTCATGTATCTGCACACATAAGCGTGTTTTTATGTGTGTATGTTTATGTATGTGTATATGGATTCTGTAGGTAGATGCATATGAATTTGTATTTGTATGTGTATATGTATATGTGTATGTATGCTTGGATAGGTACGTTTGTCCGTCCGTCTGTTTGATTGTCTGTATGTATGTATGCCTGTATGTATTAATGTAATGTAGTGTAGTGAAGTGTAGTTTAGTGTCGTGTAGTGCAGTATAGTGCAGTAGTATAGTGTATATTTGTACGTATGTATAGGTAGGTCGGTAGGTCGATAGGTACGCCTGTATGTATGTCGGTATGTACGTATGTTTGTATTTATGTATGTAGGTAGGTCGGAGTGTATGTATGTATGTATGTGTATGTATTTAGGTAGGTAGGTAGGCATGTATGTATGTATGTATGTATATGCAGGTGGGTATGTATGTATGTATGTACGTATGTATGTGTATGTATGTAGGCCAGTAGGAATGTATATATGTTTGTATATGTCTGTATGTCTGTAGGCAGGTCTGTATGCATGTATGTATGTATGTAGGTAGGTCGGTACGTATGTATGCATACATGGTTGTATGTATGTATGTGTAGGGAGATGGGTAGATATGCAGGTAGCTGTTTGTGTAAGTATGTGTTGATGGATGTTGTTATATGTATGCAGGTCGATTGGCAGGTAAATATTCATATATGTATGTATGAATGCCTGTATTTTGTGTATGTAGGTCGGTCGGTAGGCACGTACGTATGTACGCATGTATGTGTAGATGTGTATGCATGTATGCAGGTAGGCAGACAGGTAGGTAGGTATGTACCCATGTCTGTATACATGTATGTTCAGGGGCGTAGGTAGGCCTGTATGTATATGTATGTACATTTGTAAGTAGGTAGGTCGGTATGTGTATGTATGCAGGTAGGAAGGTCGGTATGCATGCGTATGTATGTATGTAGGTAATTAGGTACGTACGTATGTGTATGTTGGTAGGTCGGTGGGTATGTATGTAGGTACGTTGGTAGACATGTAGGTGTGTGTATGTATGTATGTATGTATGTGTGTATGTATGTACGTGGATGTATGTATGCATGTAGATAGGCCGGTAGGTAGCATGCAGGTATGTATGTATGCATACGCGTGCATGTATGTATGTATTCATGTATGTATTTATATGTGTGTATGTATGCATGTAGGTACATATGTACGTATGTCTGTATGTGTATGGCTCTAGATATGTGTTTATACGTGTCTGTATGCATGTACGAATGTGTGTATTGCATGCATGTCTGTATGCATGTGTGTGTGTGTCTAAGTATGTATGTGTGCATGTGCATGTGCATGTGTATGTGTATGTGTATGTGTATGTGTATGCGACTATGTGTGTATTTGTATGTGCGTTCACGTATGTCTGTAGGTATGCATGCATGCATGCGTGGATGGATGTGTGTATGGAAGTACGTATGTATGTATGCATGCATGCATGTATCTATGTATGCCTGTACGCATGTCTGTACGTAGGCATGTATGCGTGTATGCATGTATGCATGTATGTATGCATGCATGCATGCATGTATGCATGAATGCATGAATACAATGCGTGTATGCATGTATGCAAGTCTATGCGTGCTTGTACGCATGTCTGTGCGTATGCATGTATGCATGCATGCCTGTATGCATGTATGTATGCATGCATGTATGCATGCATGCATTTTTACGTATGCAAGTATGTACGTAGGTAGTTATGTAGGTATGTAGGTATGTAGGTATGTATGTATGCATGCATGCATGCATGCATGCATGCATGCATGCATGCATGGATGTATGTATGTATGTATGTATGTATGTATGTATGTATGTATGTGTGTATACATATACATGTACGTGTGTGTATGTATGTATGTATGTATGCATGCATGTATGTATGTATGTATGCATGTATGCATGCATATATCCATGCTGGTCCTGGCTGGACTGATCTTGGGCCCAGGATCGATGCAGGCGTTTGGGTGGCGCCTTCCCGCTGGAGGAGCAGGCTCCCGGAGCTCTTGTTGGCGATTGGTTCGGGCTGCCGGGGCCCTTCGGGGGCCCCAGGCCCTGGGGACCGCCAAACATTGGCTTCGCGAAGGGTTCAAGCTTCTGCGGGTGGTGATGGGCGGTGTGCTGGTGCTTGTGTCTGCTGGTTGTTGTGCAGGTGGATGGCCTGGTGGGGCTTTGCAGACACTGGGCGCGTACTGTTGTCGCCGAGGTCGGAGGGCTACATGTGCTGCAAGGCGCAGCACCCTCCTCACGCGCTGCGCGCTGCGGGAGTGGAGACCTGGGCAGTGCTGGGGGGCTGCGGAGGGGGGGCGCAAAGGCGCAGCGAGGTCTCCGTGGATGCGCGTGAGGGGTGCGCCTCAAGGGGGAGAGGTGGCGCCACGAGCGGCCCGAGGCACCGGACGGGCTCACCGCGCGTGCGCTGCGGCCGAGATGGGGTGGCCGGGTGGGCTCCACTCGGCCAGGGCGCCCGCCAGGAGCCCGGCCCCGTCGGGGGGGCCCACTCGGCGCCACGAGCGGCCCGAGGCGCCCGACGGGCTCTCCGCCCGTGCGCTGCCGCTGAGGTGGGTGGCCGGGGGTGAGCTCCGCGCCAGCAGGGCGCCCGCCAGTTGCGCTCGGCTGCGCGCCCGGCGTGGGCCGTTCTCGTGGCCCCCTGAGGCTCTGGCGGCTCTGGCGGTGTGTGCCGCGGGCCGCGGCGATTGGGCCGTGGGTTCCTCGCCGTCGCGGCCTGGGCCTGGTTCGCTGGGGGCTCGGTCGGTGACGGGAGCACGGCCATGAAGCTGTGTTCGCAGCCGCCACGCAGCGCAGCGTGCAGTGGACATTCGTTGGGGCAGATTCGCGAGGGTGGGACGTTCAGCAAAACAAGTACTCCATGGTTCGGGCGGCGGCCCGCATGTCTCAGTGTCTGTACGTGCGGCTCCCACTTGGGGTCTCTAGGGTAGGTGGGGTCCCCAGTGTTGGCGTCGCCTGCCGCTGGTGCCGTCCTGTTTTTTCTTTCATTTCTTAACCCTCCTGTGTTGGGTTCTTGTTCCGAATAGAGCGCTGCTCGCGCAGCCTCCCGCCCACTGTCGTTTCCCCCCTCCCCCGCCCCCCCCCCCCCCCATCCTGTGTTGGGTTCTCGTGAGTCGCAAACTGCGCAACTGTCGCCACTTTCGTTGGCTCCTGGGAGGTCCAGCGGAGGCGGTACGCAGGCGAGAACTCCCGGCTCCCTGGGAGGCTGCCAACTGCGCAATTGTCGCCGTTTGCGTGGGCTCCGGAGAGGTCCAGCGGAGACAGTGGTCAGGCGAGATCTCGCGGCTCCCTGGGAGGCTGCGAACTGCGCAATTGTCTTTCGTGTGCTCCTGGGAGGTCCAGCGGAGGCGGTGGTCAGGCGAGACCTCGCGGCTTCCTGGGAGGCTGCGAACTATGCAATTGTTGCCACTTTCGTGTGCTCCTGGGAGGTCCAGCGGAGACAGTGGGCAGGCGAGACCTCGCGGCTCCCTGGGAGGCTGCCAGCTGCGCAATTGCCGCCATTTTCGTGGGCTGTTGGGAGGTGAAGCGAAGGCGGTGGGCAGGCGAGACCTCGCGGCTCCCTGCGAGGCTGCGAACTGTGCAGTTGTCGCCACTTTCGTGTGCTTTTGGGAGGTCCAGCGGAGGCGGTGGTCAGACGAGACCTCGCACTGTGCAGTTGTCGCCACTTTCGTGGGCTCCTGGGAGGTCCAGCGGAGTGGGTTGTCACAGATTCAGGCGAGACCTCGCGGCTCCCTGGGAGGCTGCCAATTGCGCAATTGTCGCCACTTCCGTGGGCTCTTGGGAGGTCAAGCAGAGTGTGTTGTCACGCCGATTCAGGCGAGACCTCGCGGCTCCCATGGGGCTGCCAATTGTTCAACTGTGGCAGCAGATAGTTGGTTCACAGCGGTGGCCCATCGGACCCCCAGAAATGAAGACAGTGATAGTCTTTTCCCTCCCTGTT